TATCACAAGTAATACTAAGCAGGAAAAACTTAAGTAAATGGTAAAAAATATATTTTTTCAGAAAAGCAACTTTTGTTATTTGTGTCACCGTCAATTCAGCAAAGCAAACCGATGATCAATCAGTCTATTTACTCTTGGGTTTTAATAACCCCTTCCATGTGTCATAAATCATCTTTTCATCTCTTATTTGAAACACCAAGGGATACTTCCATTCTCTCATGAGTAATACAATAACACGTTAAATGCAAATCAAAAACAAGTAATTTTTACTTCACTTACAAAAGTGTTGAAACACCCCTACCTTAAACATTTGGAGTTTGAATATCCCCTTGCGTTCAATATATGACAAAATCCAGCGTTCTCTTTACTTCTTCTTTAGAAAAATTTTTAGATTCAAAGTGCATTAATCTATAAGAAGAAAAGTGGAATAATTTATGTGTGTGTATAATAGTTTGGAGAAGGAAATGTGGCCTTAGAGGCTATATGAGATAATTGTTTTTCAAATGCAAAAATGATGATGGTAATTTGTAGTAACCAAAATGGGATTTAAAACAATGGTAGTGGAATATTAATTATGTGTATAAATCAGTGTTCGAAAAGGCGCCAAAATGCGCCGCCTAGGCGCGATGCGGGGACCAAACGCGTCGAATTGGTGCAATGCGCAGAAAATGCGTTTTTGACGGTTTTTGTTCGAAAATTCGCGCGCCTTTGCGCGCATTAGCCCGCATTAGCGCGCCTAAGCACGCCTAAGCGCGCATTTTAGAACAAATTTTTTTTTTTTTTTTTTTTTTGGTAAAATTTTTTTTTATATATAAATATATTTAATGCCTTAAAAATATGAAACGCATTATGCCGTTTATTTTTCGCATTGACACGCCTAAACTTGTGATTCTTGATTCTCGGCCTCGACGCTTCGCTACGCATTACGTATTTTAAAACACTGGTATAAATGGTGGGTTATGGGTTATAAACGTGTAGGCACCCTTTTCATATGAATGACCGTTTTGTTTATAATTAACATAATTGCATTAAGTGATTTGGAGGTTATGGCATTTAGTAAATGATTCAAATGATATGCTTAATGGAGAAAAATGAAAAGTAGCCTTAAAGGAATTAAAAAAAAAAAAAAAAATTAATGGGAATGCATTAGTGGAGGAAAACCGTGACTGAGCCAAAAAGAAAAAAAAAATTATGACGGGATGAATATGGGGTTGTTTGATGCACTATATCTAGTTTATCTAATCCTTAAAATTTAAGTACTAAATATCAACAATTACAATAACTTGTGTCATCAAAATAAAATTTTGTCATTAACTAGAAATTCAATACTTTACAAAAATTTTAAAAACAAGTGCACGAAACTTTACTATTATGATCAAAACTTTAATTTGAACTCACGTTGTAGCGACTTAATAATATAACTCAAATTATTTTCGAATTTTACAACAGAATTTCTTTTAAAACGAACACAAGATTTTATATTTTTTGGGTCTCTACAATAGGAGGGAAAGGGTGTTTTGGGCAATTAACGGTGTAATTAAGAATGAAAATGTCAAAAATTGAAAGTCATGAACGTTTTGCATAGTAACGGTGAAAATAAAGCAATGTTATGTGCTAATTACCATTTACTTAAATACTAACTAAGTCTAAGTAAAAGATTCACTTATTAGTAAATAAATAAGTTTTAAAATAAATATTTTTTATTAATTAAAGTTAAAATTAAGCAAGATGCTTAATTTTTATATAATATTTTTTTAAATAAATTAACATTTTTACTTGAAAATCAAAGAAAAATAAGTCATCCAAATATGTTGTGGACAAAAAGTAAATTCACTTGTGAATAAATAAGTAAATATACTCATAACTAAACAATTTTAAAATAAATTTATTTTGTTAATCAAAGTTAAATTTAAGATTGTTACTTATTTGACACAAACGTGAGAAATGTTTCGATAAAAAATCATTTTCTTAATTAAAAGTATAGGAGAAAATGAAGTGATCCAAAGCACATTTTTTAGAAGGGAAAATATATATATATATATTGACAGTAATCTTATGCAAAATGATTGTTATAATATTTTTTTGTTTTTTTGTTTTTTTTTTTAAAGATGGTGTAGCACCAAATGCCATTTTAGAATGCTAATCTACGTAAATATATCCCTGTAATCGGTATTATATAATTTTATTTCTCCTATTCCTATTATAATCGAATATGGCGTGCCATGCACAAACTTAGGGAATAGAAAATTTGAGAGGGACTTATACTTTATTGGATTAAAATTTGACCAACAGTGAAATTTTTTTAAATTCAAAGTGATCCAGAAGGTGGAAACGTGTGAACCATGATAAATATGTTATGAACGCAGTTTAAATGTCAAAAGTTATCTTGCATGAATTATTGATCGCAAAACCATGACTATTAATTTTTCTTTTTTATTTCTTTTCCTTATGTATATCAACATAAAAATTTATGAAGTTCATATCATGATTATTAAGTTCATTTCTTGTGGTCATTTTTACTTGTTATTATGAACTCGTCAATTATCAATTTTAAATTCAAAATATTTATTTTAAATTTTGTCGTGAATACTTCAAAAAAATAACAAAAATCTCACCCGCACAAGTGAAAAACATATCCTTCAAATAAGAAAAAGGGGTAACATAAAAAAAGGAATTAAAAGAAAATAGTAGCGAATTAATTTGTTGTCCTTCAAAAAAGTGACATAGGCATAATACTTTGAACTCCAAAACTTTGTTGTCTAATTTAGCGCATGTTAAAATATAAGGACACACTGGTTGTTTGGGTAATTAGCACAAAAACGTCCCTACCTCTCAATATTATTATACAAAACGTCCATACATTTCATTTTTCCTTTTTATCATTTTTACCCTTATTTTCACATTTACTTGCCAAAAACATCATATTCGCTAATTTAGCCCCAGAATTTTTAATCTAATTGCTGCTAGAAGTGTACGTGAAAAGGAAGAATGCATCAAAAATAATCTAAACCTGATATTGACGGTAAGTGGATGAAATGAAGTTTTTACAAGCAAAAGTGAAATTTAGGGCCAAAATGCCAAAAAAATGAGAGGTAATGACGTTTTGCACAATAACATTGAAATGTAGAAACGTTTTGTGCTAATTATCCGTAGTTGTTTTATTGATGAAATTGTATACAAATGACAACAATGCACGATTTCTTTTAAGAACTTAAAGCAGCAATACAAATTTTTTTATAGTAGTAATGGTACTCAAAACTAACATGATATAATAAAAAAAAAGGACATATAACAGTCAACTCCTTCAAAAAATGATTTTACCTCCATAACAGATAAAGACATTAAATTTATCCATATTTACAAGAAGAATAAAAATGAAGTAGTATGAGAATTTTTTTTTTTTTTTTAAAGTGACAAAGTATGTCACTTTTATATTCGAGAACATTAATTCATATGGAAGATAAATAAAGTGTTATATCATTTCACTTTTAATGTAAAGTAAAATTTGAATTCATATTCATATTTTATATTTTCGCAAAGACCTTGTATGCATTATCTAATTGATCAAAAAGACTTCAAATGAAATAGCTAGTATGTGACTTATTTAAAAAAAAATTACATAGCATGTCATTTTCAAATTTGATAATCTTAATTCATGCGCAAGGGCAAATACATTTTGCCTAAGCTTAATTCATTAAAAAGTGACAAAAATATGTTGTGCCACTTTTTAATTAAGCCCCTATTTAGAAGAGCTCTTTTTCCCCCATTTTTAGTAATTATTTGACCGTTATACAATTGAACATTGGTCCTATTTTGGCCTCAATTTTTGACTGCCTAAAAATTTAATATTGAAAATGCCCTTCTTAAGAAAAGCGAATTTAATTTTAAGGGGGCAAAAAGGTCATCCTACCTTAAAATAGTCCATAATTCCGATAGGCCCTGTCTGCATATACACTGTATAACGGTCACAATTTCGCTAGAAATTAGAAAAAAAAGCTCTCCCAGACAAGGGGCTAAACGTCAAATAATTAATTCTTAATAGAAAAATATATTTTGGACTAAATTTTCAATTTGCTTATAAGAATTTCTTTTAGATATTAATTTATTTTGTATAGTGTTAAATATGTATTAAGCTTTCATGACAGAAAAAGTGACACGGTAGAGACATACATCACTTTTAATTAAAAAATAATGTTTTTATTTAAAAAATCTCACTTAACTGTATTTTTTACTTTCAAAACACTTTTTATATGATTTTTCCAAAGACCCTTTATTTTAAAGGAATTTCTGTAAGTCACTGTTGTGAACTATGTGATCAATGTTGCTATAAAATTGTGTAAGTGCGGGATAACTGATGAATTAAGTATCGTTCTCATGAGAACTAAGAATTTTTTAGAATTCAAATATAACTCTACATCAAAAGCAAAGATTTCAACGATTGATTGGTTTATTATCTACTATAAATCCACTACTTTATGAAAATAAACTAAAATTATATAATGGTGACTTTTGGGGATAATTCAATTATGATTAAAATACTAGAAAAAAACGCTCCCATGAATCTATTTTAACTTTCAATTCTCATTATAAATTTCAATTCATAATTTTCGCGACAATTGATGATCCTAATTTATCAAACAATCTCTCTTGAGTAAACTTAAATCTTATACGATCCTCAAATATTTCTACATAGAATTCGAATATATTAAAGTACACAACAATTTAAAAACATCATATTACGATTGCATAAAGCGTAAAAGTGTATTCATAAAAATAATAATTTCATAAGAAAAACTTGAAGGAAAACACAGAACGAGTATATTAATAGGTATCAGAAGTTAATTCAATCAAAATCTAATCAGCAAATAGAACTTGTTGAAGATAAAATTATAATGAATATGCTTAACTTTTCTTTTAAACTTTTAAATCCATTGTTTTGAGGGCAATTAGCTAATATACACTAACCAATATTTCGACCCGTCTCACCATATACTAAAAATCTACATTTGATTTAGGCAAGATACATCAGGAACCTTCATTCCTTGCACGCTTCCATAAGCATTGTTGCAAGCAACTGAAGCTCTTTGTTTGTCGTTCTGTAGAATGTAAATGTCGTCTAGAACTATATCCGTACATGGAACAGACGAACTGCATGCTAAATTTACTGCAGTTTGCGTTGACGAGGTTCCAAGTATTTGTCTAAAGGTGATGTTGCTAACTTTTAGTGCTGATTCCTATAAGAAAATATTTACACTGAATTAGTATTTGAAGCCTCGATTACTTTAGGGAAGATCAAAATTCTATGAATTGAATAACTAACCTGTGTTACACAATGCATGTGATCACAGTAGAATTGGTCAATATCAATGATTCTGCTTGATTCGTGACTCAAGATTTTCTCGAAAATCATGTTTCTAGCAAAACCACTGCCTCCCTGTATTGCATAAGGGTAAAACCAACATCAAGGACTTGTTCAATGCATAATATTGAGTCATACTAGAGCATGTTTGGCAAGTGTTTATAAAAGATTGAAATTATAAAAAGATAGAAATGTGGGTTGAGTAAGTTGATACTACTTGTGGGTTTTTCGAAATTTGTGGTTAAAAAGTGGCTTTAGTATTTACAAACAGTTTATAAAGATGAGCCGAAACATAGGGTTAGACATCAGTAAAAGATCAATCACATCATAATCGAAGAATATGAGACATTAAATATACCTGCCATGTCTTTATTCTAGCACCATTCGTGGTTCGTATGAATACAACATTACTAACTTCGACATTTTCGACTGTGTCATGGCTTCCATATTTGCCTAAACTTCCAATGCTGTGTCAAGGTAGAGGAGACATTAAGATCTCAGATTCTACTAAGGCACTAGAGTGCAAGCGTGAAAAGATCAGACTCGGGTAAAGATTAAACTATTAAAATACGATTTAGATCACAAGTTTGACCTTATGCCATGCCCAGGTCCACATACGATGTTGCTAATCTTCACATATGATGTTCCAGTTACTATAGAAATGCAATCATCGCCTACATTTTTGTATAAGTTGAAACAATTAGAATACTAACCAAGGTAACTTTACACGAACATTTTGTAAGTGGGCAACAGTAAAATACCTGTCCCAATACGGCAATGATCGATGAAAACATTAGTAGACCCCGCAATGTGGATGCCATCGGTGTTTGGACTATCTCCTGGACTATCGATTGTTATATTCGAGACATAAACTGATGTTAAGGACTTTAAGATGACATGCATATGAGGAACATCCTTAAAGGTAAGACCACTTAGAATAACATTGTTAGCGGATGATATCTCTAAAGCCTGCCATTGAAGAATTTCATTGAAGGTAAAGTCTATTCAAGAGAAATTGTGAATATCAAAAGAGTTATTATGATTTTCGAAAACTTACATTTGGCCTCGAGTGAAGCTGTAGAAGATGGAAATATAATCTATGTTAGAAATTCGAAACTGAAGTTTCTATAACATTCTCAAAGGATGAACCTTTACATAAGGATGAATAAGCAATCGACAAATTGTTTATTGAATTAATTGAAGCTTTACGGAGTAAGAAATGTAGTGCATGTTTTTCTAATTAGTATTAGATTGTACTCGACTGTCCAATACACAGAAGTTAAATTAGTTATATTTTCCTAATGTAAGAGTCTCAAACGTTGTTTAAACCATATTACAGTCATTCCAACAAGGTTTTAAGATTTTGGGACGATTCTTTAATTATACTACGTTTTATGACCATAGATTTAAGTTGTCCAAGCTCCAAAGGCACCAAGAAATCAATATGGACGTACAATTAATAAGGTTGGGAATTGAGATTGGACCGACAATCAATCTCGAGAGTGTATTTAAAATCTTGAACTATTATTTCCGTTACCATTTATTACACCATTTCCACGGATTGAGAGGTTATCAACGTGTCTAAAATCCATCCAATTATAGCAAGCATTATTTTTGCATCTCCATTCCGATGGTTCATTTGGTGCAATTATATTTCCATTTATCTGCAAAATTAGTTCATAATAAAATTAATAAAGCACCTGGGCTCGATTCTTGCAAGATTTGAAGCAAAGTTCTGACCATGGGAAAGGAAAAATCCATTTGTACAATCATTAGGGGATTGTAAAAATTACAATCTCCTAATGGTTGTACACCAAGCATTGTTGCATTGGAAATGTAGGGAGTCCCTATGCCGCTGTAGTTATTGACCCAATATCATGCGAGTTACCATAAAAACCCTTCTTTCAAATAGAATGATTTAAATGTCAAAAGAATACATATGTAATTCCGCTTTGTTTGGTCAATGTGTGCAGCTTGGCTAAAATTTTGCTAAAAATGGCTCCCAAGGGCAAAATAAGAAAAAAGAAAAGAATACACGTCAAACTGTAAATAGTTTAATTACTCATATGAAACCCAGGTCCAGACGGTCTTTGGACCGACCGTGGTCATACTTAGCCCTTGTAATTTGGTAGGAATTAAAATCTAATAAATCACTGAATCAACACCGCAAGATTAAACGAATTTTTATTGCAAGGGCCATGGAAGTATAAATAATTGATCAAGAATGTCTTCCCCGAAGGAACTTCCATGGTCGAAGAAGACAATGATGACTTGCATGTTGCTTCCCATGCTCTCAAAAAGGCCTACAACAAAGTGGACACGATATAAACCTTACAGTAGATCGAGCCTGGAATTGAAACTAATATAAACCTTACAGTAGATCGAGCCTGCAATTGAAACTAAATATAGTGACACGATATCTTACATGGGTGTCATCAGTTCGACCATTACCAACTGCACCATAATGAAGGACATTAAACGTTGTTTCAGAACGACTAGTTACCCCAAACAAAGAGAGACTAAATGAAAAGACGAATATCAATAATTTCTCCATTGTAATATAGCAAAACACTAAACAAAAAATAATAATGGTAACAAAGACAATGTATAAGAAGAATTCGATTAGGAAAAGGAATTTGGTCGGGTGAAAAATTTCAGAAGGAAAAGAGTTCTACTTCTACTTAAAAGTTGAATCAAAATAATTTACAGTTTTCAGTAATTGGGTGAAAAAGAAATTATTCATTACTAAGGTTAAAAGAGTTGTGAAAAACCTGAAACTCTTCAGCTCGGCTATTGAAAAAAGAAATAAAAAGATTAGGATAAAATGTTCTTCTAATTAAAATTAATATCTAGTTAAGCACGTTTATATATGTAATTATAGTTGTTTTACGAGACTTAAAGGTGGGTCAGATGGCTTGGTGTTTGTTAGGGTCGGTTCAGAAATGACACGGCTCCACAAGGGTTGCGCCGTTGGTTAGTTTTTTTTCTTTTTCTGGAGAGGCGAGTTAACCCTTTTATTTATTTATTCACTTAGTTCAAATTTAACTAAAAATAAAAACAAATAAAAAGTTGACTACTCATGTGGCTAAGCACAATTTAGCACCTCTAAAAGTGGGACACTGGACAAACTTGCAAGGATTGTGAAATATAGGTACTCAATTGGATCGATATCAATTTTAGAAGGTTATTCGTTTTTAACTTTATTATATTATCCTCAAGCTATACTTCATTATGAAATTTCAATCTTAATTTTTTATTTTATTTTTAAATTTCTCACAGGTGTCACAGCCGGGGCAAGAAGCGCGAAAGAATTCTTTCTTGCCATAGTTTGCTTTGGACAATTATCTTTTTCGAAATTAGTGGTATGGCTTTGAAGCCCACGGAATGATAGACTTGAATGCTCGTCAATAACTTTGTAAGTCTTCAATCTTACCAAACTAGATTTTGACCTCAATTTAAATCTAAGTAATTAGAAAAACATGTAATTGAGAATACATACTTACAAGAAAAAAAAAATTAATAATTGATGATCATTACCCTTCTATATTGCAATGAGGCTAGTGAATAAAAATTCTTCAAATTTAATTGAAGTATAACAATGACCTTATTGCGACATAAAATTAATGATGATTACTACTTTTTCGTTCCGGATGGATGATACGAAGATAGTAGTCTCACTAATAGGAAGAGATCACATATTTTCCCTTATTTTTGTGATCTAAAATTGTGTAAAATGTATGTATAGAAGTATTTTAGTTACATCCATTAACTTTTTCGACATTTTTTCGACACTTGAGTAAGTTTTATCTTAGTTTTAACATGTCGTAATGCACGTGATTGTGATTGTGATTGTGATCGATACTAATAAAGGTTAGCATCGAATTTCTAGTATAAATCAATTGAATCGGACTAACTAATTTGAGTCCAAATTTACTGTCGCTTGAGAAAACCTTCATTCTACTACTTGTTTCTAGTTAAAAACTTGAGATTAATCACTCGCCGAAAACGAAAGGAAGATTCCATCACCTTCGCTCTCTCCTAAAAAAAACATGGTTTTATTTCTAGTGGTCTCATTTATTGATGGTAAAGTGTTGTGTTGGTGTATGTTTGACTAACTTAAAAGGTTCGCTTCCAAATGAAAATAAGTTTTATAAATAATTGCATTTGTAAAACTTATAAATAACCAAATTACTAATTTCTAATGATAGGATAAGTGTTATTTTGAAATAAGTATCTTTTTTGTTAACCTTAAAAAGTAAAAAATATATAAGCTATCCACATGTTACGAATGACTAACAAGTATTATTCGCTTATTCCCCTATGCTTGATGTCGTTGGTGTTGTGATAGCAGATGGAGATACATTATTTACCCTAATTCCATGCAAGCCAAGTTGCTGGCCATCAGTTCTGATGCAATCCTCTTAAGCCAAATTATATAATTGGCAATTTCTAAATTTGTAATTGGCAAATTTTCTTAGTCAAAATCAAGTCATATTTAAATTGTATTAGGGTTTAATTGTTTTGTAATCAAAGTCAAATTAGGATTAGAAAAGTTCAAGTTATGGTAAAATTAGTATAGGATTGATAGAATCCAAAAAAAATCAAAGAAATCCAAAAAGAAGTTTAAGATTCGAACTTGAAGAATTTGAAATCGACTAGGACGCAATTTCGCTAGTTTGTCGCCCAGTCAGCACCCGAGCAATGGGTCAACGTCCAGAGTCCTATTTCCTTTAAAACACGTGATTTTCATCTATATTTCAACCTAAATACTTCCCCCTATATATATCATATCCTATGAAAGTTTAAAAGTGTGTTGAATCAGATTTATTCCATAAAGATCAATTCTTTGATGATCCAAAATATTCATAGATTCCAATATTCAACTACCAATATTACTTAATCCATTTATTCTTCCAAAACGTGATTTGTTGATTTAGTCATATTGTTTCATATTAAACCACTTATCAAGACACAAAAATCGTTTGATCAAACACCAACCCGAACAAGAAGGACTTTTTAATTTAATTTATTGGAGATAAATCGATACCAAGGATCGTGAGTTGTTGCAGAAACACAAATTCAGGAGGACTAAGGTGAGGTACCGGAGTCGAGATCTGTCGTCAAGAGCAAACAGTTTAGGAAGGCTAAGGTATCAACTAGGAGTCGGGATTTGTTTTTAAGGAATACACCTCCAACAAGATCAAGGGAGATTGCAGGAATTGAGTTCAGAAGTTCTAGATGGTAGCCAGGTCTGGACCTACTGTAAGTTTGTTTCAATTTATAGTGGATTATTGACGGTACAGTGCCCAAAGTTTTTACCTAATTGAGTTTTCTTCGTGATCATATTTGGTGTTTTTTATTTCTTTAATTATTGATTGTGGTATTCAAATTGAGGATAAATTAATTTGTTTGATCTAACCATCTGGAAATAATTAAAAAGTGACTTATTACTTTTAATTGTATAATTCCGCACATCGAATTTAAATATTCGGTAATTTAAAACTTTCAAATACAAAAGAAGAAGATGTTCTAGAAAAGTGGAGAGGCGCTAAAAGAGGTAATTTTTCGTAATGTCCATTTTCGACCAAATTCCATAGTTTAGGATTCCAAAAATCCATTTTCGTATTTCCTGAATAGTTTTATTTAGTTTAGTTAAATTATGATTTTAATTGCGTTTAGAGTTACTCGCTATATTTAATTCTCATTAATATCTGGATTTAGTCATTCTTTAGAAGTTTGATAACCATTTTTTCAAAAAAAAATTCTCTTACTCATTTTCAACCACACATTCGGACAATAAAATATTTTTCACGTAAACCTAAATTTTTTCTTCTTTTTAAACACACTTTCTTTGAAAATTTACTATTCAAAAACTCATTCTTTCTAAAAAATTTCTATCAAACAGGGTTAGTCATTATTTAGATTTTAGTTATTGCTTTAAATATCAGTTGTAAGCTTTATGTCAATTCATTGATTTTGATTACAATGTGAGAAGTTTTTTTCTCTCACTATTGTCTCTTTCTTGACATCCATGAGCAAATCAACAAGTTCGAAATTTTTGTGAGATTTTATTATTTCTTATAAGCTTTCACTATGTCAAGTTCGGATTAGACCTAATACGACATTCTTGGACATGGCATATATTTTGAGATTTGTTACCCCTCTCCATTTGTTGCCCACCATACTCGATGTGCAGACGATAGCCCCCTTTCACACGCTTCTCCAATCTCCAGCATCTTACGTGCAACGTGCATGACAAAGAAATACATGGATTACAATTCTACATTTACACTAAAATTCTATGTTGGAGTTCACATGTGAATAATTCAAAGTTTGATTTTTTACATGGCAATTTTGAGATTTCAATTTCGATTTTCAAATTAAATAGATTACATATAGAATTTTTTTTTTTTTTGCTAAATAGTACTTCATCCATCCCATTTATATATGCTGAGTATATTTTTCACACGAATTAAGAAATTTTATTTAATACTATTGAAAAAACCGTTTTTGCCAAAAACTTTCCTAATTTACCTTATTTAATTATCAACAACTAGCAGTAAATTGTGAAAAATTAGTTATAACTAGACAAATTAAATAAGAGTATATTAGTATACGAACAAAACAAAACATTCTCAATAAAGAAATATGACCACATAATTGGGATAAAAAAAATAAGGCAAGTCAGCCTATATAAATGGGATGGAGGGAATTATATGATTGGTTAATAGGATGTATCATTTGCAAAGCATCTCTTGGAAGTTATTCTTTACCTCGAGAATATTCGTGCACCAACTATTTCTACTATGTAGCCCCTATTTGGTAGGATTAAAATCATATTTTTAGACGATTTTAATAAAAGTTGATTAAATATATGGTTGAAAAGTTGTCGTAGATCCCATTCGTTTATAATTATCTCATAAAATATGTGATTAAAATTAATTATTAATTTTAATTTAGACTAAAATTTAATCTCTACCAAACGGGGGCATAATCTTAATCATACATAGAATTTGGCAATTTTTTACAAAAAATGCTATTTTTGTATTTTTTTTTTTTTTAACATGAAAAAGATTACTTTTGTAAAATCTTTCAAATGTGACTACATTTCAAGTCCACCACCAAATTTTGCCTAGAAATCAAGATTGGCCAAAGTTAAACATGCCTATTTCTAAAATGCCAATTACTTCTTAAAAAATGCACCTTGAACAAGGGAGCTATGATTTTCTTCCACTGTTCTTATAAATCTATCAAATTTAAAAAAAAAAAAGATAAATAAATAATTCTATATTTGATTTTTAACCTTATGTAAATTTACTTAGGCCCTGTTTGGTGAGGACTAAAAGTAGATTTTTAGTAAATTTTAATAAAAGTTGATGAAATGTGTTGTTAAAAAGTTATGGGTCTTATCAAATATATGATTAAAATTTATTGTTGGTTTTGATTTAAATTAAAATAACGACCAAATAGGGGCGTAAATAGATAAGAATAAAATCAAATATAATATACCACTCTAAATTCATCCACTAATAGTTATTCTCCTTAAATACCTTC